AAGAATGCGCTCACTCTCTCATTGATCTCGATGACATGAATGGAATCCCAGCATCCCTGGATAGCTTTCGAACCATCTCCAGTCTAAAGAGGAAATAATTCGTTTTAAATGTAAAATTCTGAATAAAAGGTGAATGACGAAAAAGAATTCTTCTCATAATAACCCAATTAAACACTTGAAGGAAAAAATAGGAATGCTAAATAGCCAACCTTTTTAATGAGCACTACACCAGCAAAGCCGTGATCTAAATCCCAAAAATACACTGAAGAGATACCACCTTCGAAGTACCTATAGAGAAATAGAGACGCAACACCATTATTGCTCAGCTTCTAACAAACAACGATTATCTCAATCCCAATACTTACATGTCTCGATAGCTTTCGAATGCTGCATTCGCTTCAATTTCAAGTTTACGCAATTTTTCTGATGGCAGCTGAGCATCTTCGGCGGGGGGATCGTATGTATTCGTCCAAGGTGACCTATAATTGAATGTCTTCTTGAGCAATCATATTTTCCACTGATTGTAAACTAAGCATAATAGCAACAAGATAAACATTAGAACAAAAGGATAAAAAAGAATGGAGCACCTGTAGCTGTCGCCATCTCTGCTGTAATCACAAAGGAGGTATTCTTTGCCAGTTTCCCTATCTTTTGCTACTTTTAACGGCTGATCGACAGTCCCTAAATTTTATTGGCTTGTTCCGGATAATTTAACAAATTTTCTCAGACAAATCGTTTTTCACATAAATACGTTCATTTCGGGAACATTTCAGCGCTAAGCAAGAGAAGAATACCATATAAGGCATGATTGTAAAAAGTATGTGCTTATACTACGCTCTTCATGTTATAACAACTATAAAAAAATCAATAAGTTCTTTAAAGCAAACATAGACATGTCCATCTATACATTTTCGAAATTAAGAAGATAAAACAAGCCGTAAGCGTAGTAGTGATATAATAAAATAGCACCTCCTATAGAATGAAGAAAGCTTATTTCCATAAAATCACCTAGTAAATCATCACAGAGTCCTGGGCAAAGATCGATCAAGTCAACAAGATTCTTCTCACATTGTTGTGGAGGTAGGCGCCTCATCAGGTCCAAAGCACAGTCCAGCTGTTGTTCACTCTCAAAAGCAAGAAAATATTTGAATACATTATATTGGTTTATCCTAAACTGTACATGCATAGCACCAGTAAACTTCAGTAAATTTGAACGAGATCGGAAATTTCCTTGCAATTGATATAAATACTCACCATTCTTAGCAATAGCTCTCTATCTTGATAACAAGGAGTGAAAAAAACTGTCCTGGAATAACTGGAACGATGAGATTTTAGAATATTTACATTTGAGAAACCGACCATGAATGGAACAACAATTTACTAGTAAAGTACTAAATAGTGAGATAGAAAAACCATGTACGAAAACGAAACAAAATTACAGCAATAAACCAAAAAGAGGAGCTGTCCACTAATAAATATTGTCTACGTGCAAAGCTATACTACCATGCTGAATTTAATGAATTCTTACACATTTAAATAAAGACATAATTTATCTCACGAAAACAGAACAATCTTTTAGCACAAATCGACCTTTTCCTAAGATTTCGCAGCGCAGTAACGTAGAATGCTTGAGCCATTTTGGCATTGTTCCACGAGTTTGCTTGAATTTTCAGATCCTCTGCTTCAAAGTGTTTCAAACTTCAGGAGAAAATAAAGAATCAATGATTCAATGTCAATGTAAATTAGCAATTAAGAAAGAGCAAAAGAATTTTGTACACAGAGCACGTACATTTGCATTTTCTTGGAAGCAAATGGGATCGCATTATATGCTGAATACCTACTTTTCACTTAGAAGATGAAATTCGCCAATTCATATCTAGTACACAAATTTGAAGCGCTGAAATTGAAAGGTTCATGCTAAGCTTTTAGCAATAAATAGTGCAAGACGCTCTTCAGATTATCAAAGGTTTTTAAGTTTGTCAATGCTAACTAATTAGTATTTCGGCAGCATGCAATAAATTTGACAACTTGAAGAAAGACGCCTTCCAATCGAATAAATCTCCATTGACCAATGACAGCAAGGAAAAGTAGGATAAATGAAGAATCAAAAACAAATGAAATTGCAGAATAAATCCATAAAGAGATATTTATTTCTCTTGCCTGTAATGTTAGTCTCACTGTCAACCAACAGTGAAAATAATGACAATAGCTACTTCAGGGGACAGCAAGAAATCATTGCTAGAAACCATACAGAGCTGAAAGAGCACTGGCAATGTAGAAGTGACAGTGTAAATCGATAATGCAAATTGAGTCGAGCTATGTCTCAGAACTACTTGCAGCAAACGTCAATCGATAGCGGTTGGCAAATTTCCAACAGGCTATCGTTGTAAGACCGATACGGGTTGTCTATTACGACAAAGGAGGGATTGAAAAAGCGTGTCGATTACGCTGTCTTTTATATTGGAGCGCCACAGCTTAGGGCCAAGTGGCTGTCAGCATGAACAGTATGGCCGGAACACTACA